AGAGCGTTTCAAGGTCAAAGCAGGACCGCATTGCACAACCCGGGGGAGGTAGCAGCGCCACCCCAACCATGTCCCTGGAGCTTCTCAAAGGAAGATGTTTCCAAGCTATAGAGGGCTTTTTGTTTGCTCGGCTCACCTTGTAAGGCAGGAATGGCTTTCCAGACAGACACGGGTCCCTGACTAGCAAACTGCCCCAGTGACACTTCCAAGAGGAAAATGGGAATCCCAGCTAGAGCCAGCATCATCAGGTAGGGGATGAGAAACGCACCTTGAGGGGAAGAGAAGGCAAATCTGAGCTCGTGGGGGCGGGGGGGGGGGGGGGGGGAAGGTGGGACCACACAGTTCTCAGGGCAACCAGGACCTGTGGACTAAGGAAGCCCTGAGCAAACCCACTCCACTGGAGCCGTCTAGGAAAACTGAGGCTGTGCACCCATGGCTGGACGCGGACTGAGTGTCCGTCTGACTCGGGCACCTCCCAGATCCCATGCTCTCCAGGGTGTTTGACTAGCTCAAATGGGGTATCAGAGGGTTTCCTCGCCTTCCCTATTGATCTGGCCCACTTCTAGGGTGTCCAGAGCAGCGCTCCAGGCTCTAGTCTTTGGGATGGAAAGGAAAGCCAGGCTCGCTGCAGGTGGTGACGCTAATTAATTAAATCAGAGTTAATTTCCCTCATCAGCTCCAACTGCGCCCTGCTTGGTTTGTCGAAGGGAACGGGGCTCAGGGTAGCGTGGTGGTCAGGAGGAGGAGGAGGAAACCAGGCAGCACCAGCCCCGGACTGTACTGTAGGAAAGGTGTCTACCCCGGAGCCTAGCCAAGCAAGCGTGTTCTCCCTAGGACAGGGAAAGCCCCTGTATCTCGGAGCTCTAGGATCAGATTGCATTCAACAGTGATTAGGCAACGCCAGGGACCTTCGCGGCAGGAACTGTGCATCTACACATGGATTGCCATGTACTGGGGGTCAGACCATGGGGCCGTTTTACCCAGAGAGTGGATGCTGAAAGGGAGAGCCCAGGAGGGGGGTATTCCCCTCCCTGCTCCTCTCTCACTTGCAGCCTCCAGTATTTAAGGTCTAGGAAGCTCTGATTCAGAGGCTGTGCCCCTCGCTCCCACGGCCAATAGGTACTGGAGCCCCTTTCCTCCACAAATGTCTCCAATCCCTTGGGTCGTTTATTTTCTCTCTGCTGTAGATTTTTGCTATTGTGTTGAAGAGGGCAAAAGCGTACTAATTAGGAACGATCCCCGGGGTATCTTTCCAAAGCAGTGGTGCAGATCTGAACTGTTCCTGATCTCCTTAGTCTCAGCTACCGTGGTAGAACAGCACTAGGAGGGGGTGAGAGGGGAGCGCCAGCGCAACCCGGGACATTACACAGCGGATCCCATAACGCACCCGCACTCGCACCATCCGACCTGGAGCTCAGTGCCCAATGCGGCACTGAGCACAGCAGGAGAAAATGCAGACCCAGGCTTTATTATAATACCTGCCCAGATCGCTGCGCTTTAAAGAAAAGACGCGGTTCCGTGAGATCTTTGATGCCCCGTAGTTGCAGCAAACCCTAATACGTGGGGGGAAATTTGGTAATTTAAAGGGGTGTTGGAAATCCACGTCAAATTTCCATGCACACTTATTTGTGTTCCGCAGAGAGGATCAGCCCAGTGCTCATTTAAAGAGTTCACAACGAAATTCCCTCGAAGTGGATTTTGTTCTTCCTCAAACGGAAGGAGCCTTATATGAGGCTTTAAACAATTACAGTGTCCAGGCATATTCAGACAATATAAATATAACCCAGGCAGCAGTTTCACGATTACCACAATTGTGTGTGTGTGTGTGTGTGTGTATTAGATAGATAGATAGATAGATAGATAGATAGATAGATAGATAGATTCTTAAAAACCTCCAAGGACTCTCCATCCTTCGAGGTTTTTAGGACCCTGCTAGACAAAGCTTTGGTTGGGATGATCTAGTTGGGGATGGTCCTGTTTTGAGCAGGGGGTTAGACTAGATGACCTCCTGAAGTCCTTTCCAACCTTCATTTTTTATGATTCTATAAATAGAGATTTCTGTATAGCTATCGCTATAGAAATTTCTATATGGCTATCTCTATAGAGATTTCAATATATAGCGAGATATCAATATAGATATAGATATTATATAATAATTGTATATATTTAATTGGATTGTATTATGCATTTAATTGGATGATATATATTTATGGATTATGTATAGATTTAATTGGATATCAAGAAAACTAGCGATAATCGAAAGTTCAACCTGTGCGCACCCTCACTGAACTGAGTAAAAAAAAAAAAATCCCCTCTTTTTAGCCTAGCCAGATGTCCCCCCACCAAGTGAACTGTGATAATAAAAAGCGAGCTGAATTTTAACAAATGGGATTTACGCATCCGTTCTCCCCCGCATTGATTTTATGTCCTGGGCTGATCATTATTCGGACTGTTGAAAATTACTCTTTTTTTTTTCCAGTTGGGTTTCAAAAAGGTATTGGCAGCACAACTGGAAACCCTCCCATGCCCTGGTTGCGACTATGATCTTGCAAAGCTCTCCCCTCTGTTTTCTACGTGCTTCTCCATCTCCTGTTCTCACTTTGCTGTCCAACCCCACGGGTTTAGATTAAACCCTCTGCACACAATTGACGTGAAACCTGAGTGTTTTGGGGGGTTATGGGGGGGTTGTTTTATTTTTCTCTTTGCCCGGAAAGATTCTTTGCACGGATCTGATCCACTCGTTTTGTCCATTCTCCTCCCTGCCTGGGCAGCATTAGGTAGGTGCACATGTGAAGGGGCAACACCGAGTGCAGCTCACCACCATTCAGACACGAAGATGCTGTTATTAGTGAGCAGCTTCAACGCAACCCCCACCCCCCTCTCGCCCCCCAACCATGTGCCTGAGGATTTGAATTTAAAACCTTGCGGTCCTCTGGATGCGTGTTAAATGTCTCCCCCTTCTCCCTCCCCCGCTATGTGCCAGAGCAGTATCACTTGCAGGGCTGCAGGGTGTAGAAAGACAGGAAAAGCCATACCTCCCCCATTCTTAAAGGCCAGGTACGGGAACCTCCAGACATTGCCCAGCCCCACTGCATAACCCACCATGGAGAGGATGAAGTCCAGCTTGCTAGACCAGTTCCCTCGGGCTTTATTCTCATCCCCTTCTTCGTCATCCTGAAGAGGGGAAGGGGGGAAAAACAGTCACACGAGAGACAGCCGCTGTCGCAACCACCCATCTCAACTGGGTCCAGTAGCAAGAGGTGGTTAGAAGGCAGTGGGAAGAGACCCCCAACCCCAGGGCAAGGATTTCTCAGCAGATCTCGGGTGTCCCCCCTCTGTCACCCTACCCCCAACCATCAGATGGGTCCTGGTGCTTCTGAGGGGGGGCGGGGGTACCATATACGCCTTGCTGACCCCTGAGCCAGGGAGGAATCACTGGCCCCTGGGACAGGGGAAGGATCATTGAGCTTTAGTGACTGCAAAAGAAGATCTCGAGAGCCCAATCCCATGTCCCTGATAGCCCCAGGGCCTGGGAGTGAAACACCAATTGGCTTCCCCAGCTCCAGGCCCAGCAGGAGGTCCCAGGGGGCTGCTTTGCCTCCTAGCTCCCCAGTGCCCACCCATGCATATGGGCAGGGGCGAGCCCCGAATCCGCGGCCAGGGGAAGACTGGCACCGGCTGGGAGGAGAGGTCCAGCTCCGGGCAGGGGGACCCAGGGCAGGGGAACAGGTGCCTGCCCAGCGATCCTAAATAAGCGTGATCTGCCCACCAGGCAGCGATTGCTTTGGAAGCTCTTGGGGGTCGCGGGGCCGGGGGTTGCTTTGGTGGGTCGATGGCTTGGTTGCAGGAAGCGACACCCCCAGGGCCGGGGGGCACTGATACCAGAACAAGGCGG